AATAAGGGTAACTAATTGCTAAATATTCTTTTATAGGTGATGCATTAAGGAAGTTGCAACAATACTAAGAAGCAATTGAATGTTATAATGAAGCAATATCTATTAACCCTAAATCTGATACTTTTTGGAATAATAAGGGTTATTTATTGTCAAAATATTAATATTTAGGTTATGCATTACTTGAATTGAAACAATACTAAGAAGCAATTGAATGTTATAATGAAGCAATAGCTATTAAACCTAAATCTGATTGGGCTTTTGAACAAAAAGGTATTGATATTTGTTATTCAGGTTTAATTCTACAAAAATAATAAAAACACAGAGATGCACTCTAAAATATTGAACAAGCACTTAAAATATATTCTACATCTTTTAGATTAGAATATAAATGTAAATTAATCTTCAATTTAATTTTAGCTGATTCATTATTTGAATTGCGTAGAAGTTCGGAAGCTAAATACTTTTATAAATCTGCTTGGGGACAGCATGCTTTAATAGAATTGTAACTATCAAAGTTATGAAACATTATCATATTCATATATTGAAGGATTTAATAAAATTTTGTCAGTATATATTTACAAAAAGAAAAGTGATTTACTTAAATTAATCACTGTGTTATACTCTTTAACTTTAAGGATATAAACTTAATAGCCCTAACAAGGAGTGATATTAATCTTGTTCTTACGCAATTAAGAATTCTTGTAGTCGTTTTGAAAACTAAATTTTATAATACTTGATTAACATTTGAATGTAGTTTAAAAAAATATCTGGTATCCTATAGAGACAAATATTAAAAATGCAAATTAAGAGAATCTCATATTTAGTAGAAGAATTTTCTTTATTTGAGAGTCATTCCATAGAGACAAAGAATTTTAGTGAGTTTTGAATGGCTTTATAGAGAGGAAGATTTTGAATAAGTATTATAAGAGGAAACGTAGAGAATTTCATGAACTAAGAAATTCTAAACCAAAAAAGAGATTAAGCTTTACTCAATTCTGATTCCTGAATTCGGATCGTATACTTCCACAGAAGCAATCAAATTGCTCATCTTCAATAATGTTCTGCTATTAAAAAATCGTAATTTTATTCTAAAAAGTTGATAGCAAATCAAATGTAAGAATATAATTGAAAAAGGAAGTTTATAATTCGAATATTTGAACTTCTTAGACATAAGTAAAACAAATAAATTTAAAAATACTCAAATTAATGATATTAAAGTTCTTATGTTTATATTGGAAGTGGATTAAAAATTGAATCTTTATTATCAAAGAAAAGAAGGAAAAAAGATTATTCTGTATTCCAAGTACCTTAAGTAAAATCTTTAGTGTTGTTGAATGAATTTTTTATAATAAGAAATACTTCATTATTTATGATTGAACCTATAAATCATAACAGCTTGCATGACATTTAAAAAAAAAAATAATTATTTAATTGAGGAACAAATCTTATTATGATGAGGGTAAAATCCTAAGATTACTCAAAATTTACCCCTTTTAATTTAATATGAAATTAATTAATTATCTACAATAACATTTTGAAATAATTAGAGGGTCAACGTTAAAATATTTAATGATCTCATTCTCAAATAAATAGTAGATATGAAACTTATGAGACAAAAACCTATATATACTTCAGAGTAGTAAATAATATGAATATGGTTATAGCAATCTAGTTCCAAAACTCATTGAAAAATTGCTGTCTTAAGGTATAAATAATTATCTATAAAAAATAAAATACAGGCATATATATATCTTTAAAAAATAAAATCAGGTATTCTCTCACGATAGTACTACATCTGATTCTGGTAGTGGAAATGACTCTATCTGTATATGGGATTTTGAGACAGCCCAAGAGATTCTACCTCAAGATAATTGTTACAAAGACCTTATTTCTTAGTTTAAATTGCCACTTTAACATCTCTCAATTTTAAAAAATAGCTGAGAGCTTTAATTTTGAAAGGAATATTTGTAAATTATTAAGATAAGGATCTAATACCATTATTTCAATTCTAAAGGATGACTTTTGAGTTTACAAAACAAATAGCATTGATTCAGATTGTAAGTCTGTTTTGTTTGAATATTCAATTATCAAACATAATACGCAAATAGGATTTAATCTGATTAAAAGGTTAAAAATAATGCAAAGTCAGTATTACCTAACACAACATGTCAATCTTACACCTAATTGAGTTTATTAAAATATTATGTTTAATTTATTAAATAACATTAAATAAATGCTAGATATATTAATGTGTTTAATGAATTTTCATTATTATTTTTATGATTTTACCTATTTCTATTAATCCTAAAGAAGATAAAGTGTAGCATGATTAGGGTAGTAAATTGTTTAAAAATGATATTTAGGTGATGAATTATCAGATTTGAAGCTACATCAAGAAGCATCTTAGAATGAAGCAATTACTATGTACCCAAGCAATGTTGATGCAAAGATTGGTAAGGGTAATTTATTGTTAAATGTCAACATTTAGGTATTGCATTAGCTGATTTGAAATAGTGCTAAGAAGTAATTTAATGCTATGATGAACCAATGCTTATTCGCCCTGAATAAGTTGATGTATGGAATAGCAAAGGTAATTTATTGTTGAATATTATATTATCTAGGTGATGCATTATATAATTTGAATCAATGCTAAGAAGCAATTGAATGTTATAATTAAGCAATATCTATAAATCCTAAATATGCTCATTTATGGTATAATAAAGGTAATTAATTGTTAAATATTTATATATATATAGGTAATGCATTAACCAAATTGAATCAATATCAAGAAGCAATTAATTGTTACAACAAAGCTATTTCTATTAATCCGAAATATGATCCTGCATAAAATGGAAAGGGTAGTTAATTGTTAAATAGGAATATTTAGGTTGTGCATTAAAAAAATTGAATCAAAATCAAGAAGCAATTTAATGTTTCGATGCGGCTGTTTCAATTAACCCTAAATTTGATAGTGCATGGTATAACAAAGGTAATTAATAATTACCTATTAATATTTAGGCGATGCATTATACAATTTAAATCGACACGAGGAAGCAATTAAATGTTACAATGAAGCAATAAACCCTAAAAATTATGATGCACTTAATTTCAAGGGTAATTAATTGTTAAATATAATATTTAGGTCTCGCATTATTGAATTTAAATCAATTTGAAGAAGCGATTGAATGTTACAACGAAGCATTATCTATTAACCCTTAATATGTTGATGCATGGTATAACAAGGGTAATCTATTAATAAATAATATTATATAGGTGATGCATTATACAATTTAAATCGACAAGAGGAAGCAATAAAATGTTACAATGAAGCAATATCTATTAACCCGAAAGATGATTATGCATGGTGTAACAAGGGTAAATAATTGTTAAATTTGAATATTTAGGTCTCTCATTAACAAATTTGAATCAATTTGAAAAAGCGATTGAATGTTACAACGAAGCATTATCTATTAACCCTAAATATATTGATGCATGGTATAACAAGGGTAATCTATTAATAAATATTATTATATAGGTATCACATTAAAAAATTTGAATCAATATGAAGAAGCTATTGAATGTTACAATGAAGCTATATCTATTAACCCTAAAGATAATGATACATGGAATGGCAAGGGTAATTTATTATTACTACATAGGTAATGCATTATTCAAATTGAATCAATTTGAAGAAGCAATTGAATGTTACAATGAAGCAATATCTATTAACCCTAAAGATGTTGACGTATGGTATAACAAAGGTAATCAATTAATAAATAATATTATATAGGTAACACATTAAAAAATTTGAATCAATATGAGAAAGCTATTGAATGTTACACTGAAGCAATATCTATTAACCCTAAATATGATTATGCATTGTGCGGCAAAGGTAATTAATAATTAAATTTTTATATTTAGGTGATGCCTTATAAGTATTGAATCGACATCAAGAAGCGATTGAATGTTACAATGAAGCAATATCTATTAACCCTTAATATGATTATGCATGGAATGGCAAGGGTAATCTATCATTTATTATTACTACATAGGTAGTGCATTATTCAATTTGAATCAATTTGAAGAAGCGATTGAATGTTACAATGAAGCTATATCTATTAGCCCTAAAGATGTTGTTGCATGGTATAACAAAGGTAATCTATTAATAAATAATATTATATAGGTAACACATTAAAAAATTTGAATCAATATGAGAAAGCTATTGAATGTTACAATGAAGCAATATCTATTAACCCTAAATATGATTATGCATGGTGCGGCAAAGGTAATTAATAATTAAATATTTATATTTAGGTGATGCATTACAAAAATTAAATCAATATCAAGAAGCTATTGAATGTTACAATGAAGCCATAGAGATTAACCCCAAATCTGATTATGCTTTTAAAAAAAAAGGTAATGATATTTTTTATTCAGGTTTAATCCTACAAAAATTATAGTAAAACATGGATGCACTTAAAAATTTTGAACGAG